AAAATTAGTTTTTGAAGACGTCAGAAAGAACGTGATTAGCAAACAGCACCCTTCTAGTCCCCACGTTTCCTACTCCGATACACTCATCGCCTTGGCTGCTACTGTCTATTCTATCCATGTACAACACAAACAGGATACGGGACATGACGCAGCCTTGGTGGAGACCAATGCGAGCGTTGAATGGCTTCGACTTAACACCATTTACTCAGATGCAGCACTTGCTATCAGCACAGGAGACAATTGGACGCTAACCTCCCACACGCCACCTTAGACGAGAAGCGAGCAAGAGGGCAAGCTCTCGCCTTCCACGAAGGACCAGAAACTTAGGTCGAACAAAGGAGGGAGCGCTCGCCTTTTATAAAGAACCGAGGACATGGGCCGAGCGAAAGAAAGCGCGCTCGCTCTCTGCGCGTTGTCCGACAAAGGCGCACTGACACCGGCAGCACAACCAGCAGGTCAACGCTGATTGGTCCCAGAGGATGAACAAAAAATCCTCAGGCGCATAAAAGGACAAGTCGGCGATGGAACGAGGAAATTATTATGTAGGTATGAAGACCATAATCTCTCATCTAGGCAGTTGTTGCCTTTTGTATTACGCTGTGCTTACAAGTAAAACTTTGTGACCAGATTCCGCGTCCTGCTTCCTAGCAACGCCCATCCAGTTGCAATATAGAGATTAGATGGCCCTTAGCAACAGGCCATCGATCCCATATATTCGCGCAGCGTACCCACAGACTGTTGCGCAGGATTCGGTCATAGGCTGTCTTTTGGTCTATGCAGCACATGCACACCGAATAAGCGAACTCATAACATTTCTCAACACTCTGGCGCATAGCGAAGATCTGTCAGAGGGGTTTCGGCATGACCTAAATCACACTGCCTTTTTTCGATCTGTGATTAAACTATTACAGGAATAAAATCAATATCAATTCATAAATACGATCCTAAAATGAAAATATTGGTCAAATGAGGTTTACGCTATCATTTAAGTCGGTGTGAATTCATGTTGTAGATTGTATCGACTATACACTGAGACTGTCTATAACTAATTGGGCTTGAAACCTTTGGCCGGTGGGATAAAACTATGCGGGTGGAATAGAAAATGCCCTGAGATACATTATACTTGAAAACATTTAAATTATTTCGTTGATAAAAATCAAAAAAATTCAAATCGGAAATTTAATGTTTTGCGATTTGCTATAATTGTTACAATTGCGATAAACAGGTAATATTTTGCAGTTGCGAAAACATAAATGGGTCTGACTACCGTTAGAATCAACTTGTTTGTTTCTTTCTGTCGGATAATGAGTTTTAGGTGAATAAAACATTAAATGAACAGTCACTTCATGGAGAAAACTAAATCCTAGCATTATCAGAGCATTTCGAGAAAGTGAATTTTCTGCTCTCAAAATTTGTTTCAGTGAGTTTGATTTCAAGGAGGCCAGAAAGTGTTTTACCGACGGAGGTATTCTGGTAGCAAGTAAGTCAGTTTGCAGCAGTTGGTAACAAATAGAAACTGAGGCACCATTTAACTCAGACGGTGCATTAGCAGAACTCTGTTTAACATCGTATGAAAATGTAGAAACTGTAAGCGAGCACCGTAATCCTCAAAGCTCTTTCCACTTATGAATGACAGGTGGTATGTACACAAGCTGCAAGACTCAGTAGTATGATAAATTCTCGATGATAAACAATACGAAAATTATTCAAAAGACACGTCTTCTACAAGAAGACAATTCAATTCCTTTCACGTCTAAAGCCACCTAACCAGTAATGTATATATTCTTACAAAAATAAGAATCTGTTTTGCAACTCTTTCTCATACTACACAACAGTCTTTGAAACTTTAAGTAGCTTGCGATAGCCTCGGACACTGCTGGAGGAGAGAATTCAAATGAGGATCTATATATTGTGGCGCTTAACACGAAAGTACAGTAGATAATGAGGCATCGTGTTTCTGCTTATAGCAGGTCTAGTGAATGAACAAAAACAGTGAACCGATTTCACCTGTCATTTGACACTCTTTTTTTAATAAGAAAACGTTCTGTTTGATTTTAGGGTTCGAGTGCGAAAACAACCTCATTTTCTTTGTTACAGTATCAAAGCGATTGATGCACTTCTTACACTAATCAGACCGAGTAGGAACCGATGGAATAATTGAAATATTTTTACTGCGCAAGGGAACAAGAACCGGCCGTGGTAAGCATACCGGAAAAGAAGGTTGCTGCCAGAATAGCAAAAACAAGCCAAAGAGCAATACATAATCATACACGGTTACACTCAACCCATTCACAGATTGATATGAACAATAACAAGGAAGCATTCGAATTCTTCAGAAACTGTCATCACATGCTACGAGTGCTGGCTAACACAGAAAAACAAAAGAACAGAAAATCGATCATGCGGGCGAAACACCAGAAGAGCATCTGTGATAGAAATATGAAAATGTCATCGATTGCAAGGTGAAGAACAAGGAAGTAGATTAAAGCCATCAATGCGAACAGCTCTGGTGACGTACTACAATCGTTTGGCAGGGCGCTGTTTTTGAAACAGTTTTTCAACAGATATGACAGTGGATATTCCCCGATAAAAGCAAAATGACAAATTTATACGTAAAAATAAACCCGATCTTATAGGATTCCTAACATGCTACTACTTATCGATGCCGCTGCTGAGAGAAATAGCATTTTCTCTTTTGATACAGGATTGAATCGGCATAGAGGCACCTTCCCCTTGCTTCTACGGCTCCGTGGTATTTGAGCGCCTGCAGTGCATTGATGTGGAACCGCATCACTATGCAGGGCTGAACAAAGGCTTATTCGGACACCTGTAGATATGCTACAATCCGTAGGCATCCTTATACATAAAAAACCCGATCTTACCGGTAACCCGATCTTTGAGTGTGGTCTGCTTAAATAATCCCCTAGGCAACCAGATGCAAAGGGAAGGCGCCATTATGCCGCATCAATTCGGTATCAAAAGAGAAAATGTTATGAAGTGGCAGATTTTTTGAAAAAATTTTTCAACAATCGAAGTATTCTATTTGCTAACAGCGAAAAAGACATCGATTTACAACCAATCCATTTCTTTAATCAACTCACATAAGACTCCTTTGAAGATGCATAATTTTCCGCCAACTTTTGTGTGAGTTAACATCATGGAAAGTAAAGCTTTATCAAACCTAAATCAAGAATGATGATGCACACTTTATTATTCTAGAAATAAAAATTGATTTTCGCACAGCGCATTTTTGTCATGTACCGTTACTTGAAAACTGAAGCTTCTATCATAGACAACTAATTCAGTACAATTTTCATGACAGCTTCTCCTTTCGGGTCGCAGAAACAGACGCGTCAGAGAGTGCTTCCAACGTTCCTGATTCTGTGCCACAGTTTCAGCTTCGGCAGAAAACAAGTGAGTTTGGAGCAGACTCCTTCCATACATTTGCACCAGGTTAAACTTGGCCGGCTCCGTTGGCCTCCTGCCGGTTGGATTCGCACGAAACAGTCGCTTCGCCTTCCTTTCTGGAGGCATTTGCAACACATGCCCAAGCCATCGCGACTGTGACTTCTCAGTCTGGAGAAGCAAAGGCTGTATTCCAAGGCTGTTCCGGATATCTCTATTCCGGACCATGTGGAGAGTCGTACGGCCAGTGTCTCGTCTGAGAATGCCCGAAAGGGCCATGCGGTTGCTTCTGCTTTCGCTGGCAAATCGAATTGATCATGCTCTCCTTCGTAAAGGACGCTAACAACGGCTTGACGTATTATGTCTACAACGATGCGCATTTTGACAGGCGACGAATATGTACGATCGCCTCGTCGGCCAAAACGTCCAGGGAAAACATCGCCTGTGCTGGCCTGGATATTTTAGCGGTTTATCTGAGTTTCCGCTACTTCGGTGAATTCACTTGCAACTTCATCGCATTTCCGTATCCCGCTGTTTTATCCATCCTAGCCACTGAATCAGCAGACAAGAATTGCGATACGAAACACCTCACCTACTGCACTGTGTTTGCTATATGCTCACTGATAGACTTCAGATCGCAAGCCATTAAGCGGTGGTTTCCACACTACTGGCTATTAAAATGCGCTTTCTTCCTGTGGCTGTACCGGCCAAGGACAGATGGCGCTCAGGTGTGCTATAAGAGGTTGGTCTTGCCTTGCAGCAGGAAGTAACTGAAATATTCTGAAGCATTGAAGAGGCA